ATGTAGATATTAACAGCTCATTGTAAGGTAACGAAAACACAACGGTTCTTATTTTCAGGTGATTATACACCAAAGAAAACATGCTTAACAATATCATATTCCATTTCTGCCAATAGATCCCACGAAATGCTACACACTGTTCCTTTAAGAAGAAGGCTAGTTAAGACAAGATACAATACAATTAGATAAGATTAGATTTCAGATGTCGCAGCAGCACAAATACAGAAGCACAGATACATAGAGAAGTAAAAGAATAATAAAATAAAATGTAAAAATAAGAATAGATAAGATACGATATATACAATAAGAATAGCATTAAATATATACAAGAGCAATTAAAGACAAAGTTACGACACAAAGTGACAAATTACGAGTTTCACATGTCGGCTCTTTTAGAATAAAACCACAACCGCTCAGACTGCATCTAATAGCTGAACATTAACACACATACTGTAGCTATGTAGGTTTCTCTAAAACTGAAAAATCACCACGTGTCACACAGATGATAACACAGCTCTCTACATGTCTATCAAATGAGCAGTCACATGTAAATGTAGGTGTAAATGCCTCATCGCGTCCATGCGTTTTGCAGCAGTTAAATGACAAAGAAAATGCATGAAAAGCACGTTTGACTTCATTTATTTGGTGCGCAAATAAATTGAACGGGTTTCCGTTAACATAAATGTCTAACTTTCTCTTACTTCAACATTCTACACATTGGTAGATGTACTGTAATCTTGATTTAACATCAGGCATCTAGTCACATTCACTGTCCTTTTAAATGGTGTGTCGATTGTTTACCAGCATTACTTTGGAGAAAACGATCGCACCTAAAATACTCATGATATGAGACCACATAGCACACATGGCATGAGAAAAATCTAAAAGCAGAATTACCCAACCCACTGCAGAAACACAAAACTACTTATGTGTGCATGCTTGTGTATGTATGTGTGTGTGTGTGTGTGTGTGTGTGTGTGTGTGTGTGTGTGTGTGTGTGTGTGTGTGTG